AATACTACTACACATCTACAGCCATCTGATCTTTGACAAACCTGACAAAAACAAGAAATGGGGAAAGGATTCCCTATTTAATAAACAGTGCTGGGAAAATTGGCTAGCCATAAGTAGAAAGCTGAAACTGGATCCTCTCCTTACTCCTTATATGAAAATTATATGATTTCATAAGACCATTGGGAAATAGGTTTTATGTTTGCATGCTCTTACTGATGCTACCTGTGACTTACAGACATACCTTCTTATCCTACTCTAATTTAAACAATAATACCTTTATATTGAGGTGCTTTTGAGACTTATTTAGCAAAACACATGTTCGCCAAGCCTCACCTGCTTTTGTTTTCTCTGGAGAATTGAGTTTCAGATGTTGGTCTTCTGATGAAAGGCTCACAGTGATACCATACAGTGGATCATCCAAGAAGGAGGGCCTTTTCAGTCTCCCAATGCCAAGAGTCTTTGACATAAAATAGTCTTTTGTGTCACTAATAATATCATTCTTCGAAAATTGAAGGCATTTCATATTCTCCACTTCAGTGACAAGAGCTTCTGACATGCGATGTCCAGTCAAAGCTTTAGTGAGATAGTAGCCTTTAGAAGCCTCACGTTCTGCACTCTCAAGCATATCTGCATCTTCTGCCTCAGTTTTCTGGACCTCTGTTCCTGATTCATTTAGTAATTTAGAGATGATGGACCTGGAAAGCTGGGGGAACGTAGGTATTACATCCTCAATGTCTTCATTTTCTCTTTCTGAAGAAAGTTTAATGATGGATTTTTGTTTAACTATGCATTCATCCAGAAGACACTTTAACTGTTCTTCAGAGAGACGCGATGTGGACTGTAACTGATGAAATAAACCAAAAGTTTACATAGTCAATTGACTGAGTAAACACATATATTTTTGGGAGGCATCCAGTTATACAATATAAATGCAAGTAACCCCTTATACAACACATAAAAATAGAAAAATAATTCTGTGTAAAGTATCCAAAACTGTAGGGGAAATGTCATAATCCTGACAAAATCTTTGGGTGGTGTTTCTCTGACCCCACCCATCTCTCAGCATGAATCCCACCACCACCCAATTCCTTAACTGGGGAAAAAATTGGCATACAAGGCAGACTGCCCCTACCCCTGGGTATTCAGCCCTCCCTTGTCCGTCCACAACTCTCAGTGGACAATACTGCTGAAGACAGAAAAGGAAGGGTGAAGGGTGGTGCATCCTGAGATGTGTCATTGCTTCAAAGCTACAGGTCTAGGCAGAGGCCAGGGGCATTCCAGAGGCGGTGCATTTGGGGAGAATGATTTGATCATACATATTTAATCTCTGCTTGTAAAGGTTACCAGGGCTGAGTGTTTCAACCAAGACTGTAAATATTTAAAAACATTTTTTTTCTTCCAGCAATATTCTCAGGAAGTAAATTTTAAAAAACGAGATGAAAGTAGACAGCCATGTTCTACAAGACTTCAGCTGAATAGCATGACATTTGAGTTGCATCAATCTCAAAAAGGAATGAGATTAAAATATAGTGAAACACACTGAAAAAAAAAGTGTCTACTTCCCAAAAAATCTGTCTTCCATGGTTTACATGTGGATTATCTAGGAAAAGACTAATCCTCCTTTACAGGGGGATGAATTATCTGAGAACAAGAAGTTCCATAAGAAAACTTAATCATGAATTTCAATGACTTTAATTTCTACTTCAGCAAAGTAAAATAACGCTATTGGCCTACTCTGAAAGTACACAGTAAAAAATAACTAAATATTCTGCATATGTAAAGTACTGAAATAAAAAGCTATTATTGAAACTAGTATAGTTAATTCTCCACTATTACGTAAAGCTTCTAATACAACTAATAAATACTAGTATGTAAAACAATTTTGTGCCATGTTTAAAAAATATTGTTTAAAATTATATTTAACTTACCTATATTAAAACTAGTTTTTATAGCAGCAAGTGTCACTATGAGCATGAGGATAATAAGAAATTGTCTGGGAATATATTCTTAGTAATTGTTTGGAATTCAAAATTCAGGTGACTGATCCTAAGGTTAATATATATGTCAAGAAATAGGATTAGAATTATATATTAGCAAATTCTACTTTTAGTCACTAGGCATTTCAGGCATCCAGATATAGTACTTTATCCATCTTTATCCAGAATCAGGAGCATTCTCTTCACTCTACTATATAAACCTAGTCAAGGAGAAAATGAAGGAAGTCCTTCTATGACATTAGATACCTAAAACACACTTTCAAACTTGGCTTATGTGAAATTACTTATAATGTGTAGACAATTCCCTAGGATTTAGAAAGAGCCCGCTGAGGGTCATCCTTACCAAACATCCTCATCAAAGCCTTATTATGATGTAATTTTTAGACACTAGAAAAAAATCAGTCCATATTAGAGCAGGAGGAGGTCTCTAGGGAAAAAAGGGTAGGAGGGAGGATTGGTAGATTATCCAATATGCTTAACCATTTCCAAAAATAATACTGATAATGATAGATGTTTGGCAGTTCTGATGATATATTTGGCTAAATACACAGAAAATGAAGCAAAAGGAAAATCAAAGCAATTGTGAACTCTGGGGAAAACAAAAAGTTTTACCAAAAAAAAAGGAAAAGCGGTGACATATACACAGAAAATTAGGCAGAAGAAACTAAGATAATTATTAAAGTCTAGGACAAACAAAAAGTTACATGAGAAAGGATGCCATAGGCTAATAATTGCTTCTGATGTGAACAATATTTACACAGTCAATGATAATATAAATACTGATGACTAAAGTAAGCAAAAATTGTGACTTAACTGTTTTGGGGAAATGTGAGGAGAAACAAGGGGTGTTTGCACTTTATTAGTTAAATTATTGCCTACCATTATAGCAACCCAATACATAATGTCTAAAACTAATCAATTAAGAAAGTAAGTCATTAATAAATAATATAGAGGTAAAATTCAGAAAAACATAAAAGATTTAAAAGTAGTTAACTGGAGAAAATATCAAGGGGTAGGGAAGGCTGAGGCAAGGGATTGCCATTTTTATTTAAAACATTTTAACACAACTTTTTCTTTATTACTGTAACAAAAGTTAAAATTAAATATAAAAATAAAAGTAATTTAAATGTATTTTTTTTTTGAGATGGAGTCTTGTTCTGTCACCCAGGCTGGAGTACAGTGGCTCAATCGTGGCTCACTGCAACCTCTGCTTCCTGGGTTCAAGCAAGTCTCGCATCTCAGCCTCCCCAGCAGCTGGGATTACAGGCACCCACCACCACACCTGGCATACATAAATATAACTATGTGTATATATATATTTATTTATTTATTTATTTTTATTTTTAGTGGAGACAGAGTTTTAGCATATTGGTCAGGCTGGTCTTGAACTCCTGACCTCAGGTAATCCATCCACCTCGGCCTCCCAAATTGTTAAGATTATAGGGGTAAGCCACCATGCCCAGCCCAAATTTTTTAACAAAAATGCACTTAGAAATAAAATTTAGAATATTTAAATGAAATTCCCAAGTGATAGTATGTTTGGACATCAGAAGCTGACCCATGTTTCATGGAGCCAGAAATTTATATAATCTTGGAGCAAGAGAAGGGCATTTCTTAAAAAAAAAATACAAAATACAAAATTACAAATTCAAAATTAGGTACAAAAGTGAGTTTCTTTTATTTTAGTATGTGAAAAAGATCACAACAAATTACTAGGATCTTGGGGAGGGCTGAGTCGATTTCTTACAGTATCTCTTTAGGTCATTGACCAGACATGCTTACAGAAATGTTTGCTGATTGCAAACTGGCTTCCTCCTTCCCACCCCAAAGCTTCTATAAGTGAGAGGCCCTGAGCTGAATCTTTACTGGCTTCATGGTAAATTGCTTCTGGGTACTATGGGATAAAACATTACACATTACAGCTTGTGTGTACACAGAAATAAGCTGGACTACAATTACCCTGATCCTCCTGGGGGAAGCAGCTGGATAGGAAAGAAAACATAGAAGACTAGAACCTGGGCTTCCATCCAAGCTTTGCTGCCTTGAGCATGTCACCTGAGTTCTCAGGGGCCCATCTCCTTTATCTGTAAAATAAGGAACTTTAGAAGATAATCTCTACATTAAATTCTAACTCTAACATTGCTTTTTATGAATAACTACTCTAAAAATAAAAATAAATTTTAAAATAAACTTTTCTACTGACGTTACAGTGTAGCCTGGGTAGAGATATGACAAAAAAATAATAGCAAGAAGAGAACTTTTATTTATTCAGCTCCTTCACAATATCAATCCTGAACTCATAAAATAACTAAACATTCTCTGGCCTCAAAATATAAGTAAAAGCAAATGAAACACATTACGCCCTCAAATTAATTTAATGACAGTGCTTCTGGGTGGCGATACAGACTGGAAACTTCAGCACGACCCATCTTTCCCATCTTTTGATTCCCAGCAGAGTCTTGCCCGCAGTCAAAGCTCAGTAAATGACTATCATGAGAACTGAATGATTAGAGTGCTTAAACCGTTTTTTAAGGTATTATATTAATATAATTTATTTACAAATACTGAACTGAAGTAAACTAGGGCTCCATCACAAACATCCCCAACTACCTTCAATAGTTAAGGAACCATCTAACCCACAGCCTTTTTCCAGATTGCTCTCAAAAATTCTGAGCTAATAAGCACCATGACTGAATCACTCACTGTGCAGGCACTGTCAAGTAACCATCTGTTCAAGTATTCACCTCAAAGTATTCATCTTCCATGCCAGCTCTAATTTCCCAGTATTCCATAAACAAGTTATTATTCATACTATTCCTATCCTTCATAAAACTCAACATAGTGCATCTCAGTCTTCATTTTTCCAGGCCAGAACCCAACCTCTTCTCACTCTGTATATGAAAGCTCCTCTCTTCCCACCTTCGTTTTAGTAGCTCTTTAATGAATCTTCTTTCTTGTTTCAGCCAATACACACACATTTCATGGTAAAAGAGTAAATCTATTGGATTTTCATTGGGAAAAGAATAGAATACACATGCGGTGTTAGTTCTGCTGCACCCTGCTGATCTGGTTGGGCCACTAGGTTATGTCTTACAGAATAATAAGAAGTAGGTAGCATTCACTAAGCAGACTAGACTCTGCACTAGGCATATTACATGTATTGATTCCTTTAATCTTTGCAACAAACCTATGAGGTAGATACTATTGTTATTTCCACTTTGTAGATGAAGAAACTGAGGCACCAAGAAATTAACCAACCTCTCCAAGGTCATATAGCTTCTAAATGGTGGACTTGAAATTTGAATCCAGGTAGTCTGGGTCCAGAGCCTAAGTGTCTAGCCACGTGGCTACACTGCCACTCGCTGTAAATGAGTTCTCCCTCTACCACCCTCCAAGTGTCCTTTTCCCAACTGCTGCTCATTTTTCTGTCCATTCTATCAGATATAGAAACATTTTTACTTAACTTGGGACTTTATTACCCAGATTAGCTTTTGTATGTATGTTTTATGCAAATGTATACAGTGTATGTTTTATGCAAACGTACATAGTGCCCTCTCTTTGAGCTCATTAAAAAAAAAAACAAAAAAACCCAGCCACAGCTCCATTCCCAGGATGCCCACTGTTTACACATCTCCACCCAGATAAATGCCAGTTTGGTGTAGAAGCTAAATTTGATGAGGAATGCAACTTGTAATTGCTGGAGATGGAACACAGACTGTGGATTATCTCACTCTCATCCCTGCCCCACCTCCTATGCTATATATCCGGAGTTTCTCCAGCCATAAAAATCTCCAGTTAATTGGGCAATGGATTTTGTTGACAAGGCAATCAAGATTATGTCCCTGAT